AGGGGGAGGAGGACGGGGGAGAAGTAGAGGGAGCAGCAGAGGGAGAGAGAGAAGCAGACTCCCTGCTGAGCAGGGAGCCCGATGCAGGACTCGATCCCAGGACCCTGGGATCATGACCTGAGCTGAAGGCAGACGCTTAACTGACTGAGCCACCCAGGTGCCCCAACATGAAAAAATACTGTAACGTATGTGGTGGATAAAGCATTGATTTCCATATGTAAGGAAATCTTATTAATAAGAAAAACACCTTTTTATTAGTACTATATTCAGCCACAAGCAACAGAAAACCAATAACCAAATATATGCAAATTTAAAATATATGTTCTCTCAGATCTGCAGAGTTAAAAGATTGGCAGTAATATTCATTATAGGGCGCCTGGGTGGCTCAGCTGTTTAAAGGTCTGCCTTCAGCTCAGGTCATGATCCCAGGGTCCTAGGATGGAGTTCTGCATCAGGCTCTCTGCTCAGCAGGAAGTCCACTTCTCCCTCTCCCTCTACCCCTTGTTCCGCCCTGCCCCGCCCCGCTTGTGCTCTCTCTCTGAAATAAATAAAAATCTTTAAAAAAAATAATACTGATCATAGACATTATCATACACTATTCATGGGCATTCAGTAAAACCTTTCTAAGGAGCAATCTGATTGATTTTATCAAAATTTTAAATGTGTATATTCTTTGATTCATAAATTCTACTTTTATGATTTTGACTTGACATAATTGGCCAAACACACAAAGATATGTATACATTGTAGAATTGCTTTATAGCAGCAAATAATTGTGCATAACCTAATGTCGACCAATGAGAATTAGTTTATTCTATGTCCATACAGTATAATGCTATTATATCAGTTTGGAGACTTTCAGCTACAAGTGGAAAAAAATGGCATAAACTAAAAAGTGATTTATTATCTTATGGAATAAGGAGTCTCAATATAGAGTGGTTCTAAGGGTAGTTAAAATCTGTAGCTCAAAGATCCAGATTTCTTCTATGTCTGTCATCTTCAGTATGTCAGCTAACTCTTTTCCTGATCACTTCAACAAACGTACCAGGCACTAACTGACTATAGAGATACAATAAGGAAAAATGGACAGTTCCTGCCCTCATAGGTATTTACAAAAAAATGTAGTGTATGTGTACAAAAGGTAACAGCACAGTATGAAAAAGATTCATTTAGGTGCAAACATATAACAAATCCCAAGCTTTTTTTTTTTTTTTTTTAAAGATTTTATTTATTTGAGAGAGAGAGAGAGCACATGAGGGGGGGGAGGGTCAGAGGGAGAAGCAGACTCCCTGCTGAGCAGGGAGCCCGATGCAGGACTCGATCCCGGGACCCCAGGATCATGACCTGAGCCGAAGGCAGTCGCTTAACCAACTGAGCCACCCAGGCGCCCTATACTCTGCTTTTTATACTC